AAGAGACTTAGGGGTGCAGGTGCATATTACCTTGAAAGTGGAGTGCAAGTAGACAGAGTGGTGAAAAAGGCGAATGGCACTCTTGCCTTTATTGGTCAAAACATTGAGTATAGAAGTTGGGATGTTATGTTGCGGCGGTACGGGACATGAGTGAGGCCACTTCTGAAATACTGCGTACAATTCTGGTCGCCTTTCCATTTGAAGGACGTTGTTAAACTTGAGAGGGTGAAGAAAATATTTACAAGGAACTTGATGGGACTGGAGGGTTTGAGCTATAGGGAGAGGCTGAATAAGCTGGGGCTTTTTTCCCTGGATCATCGGAGATGGAGAGATAACCTTGTAGAGGTTTATAAAATCAAGCAGGGCATGGTTAGGATGAATAGCCAAGGTCTTTATCCTTGGGTAGAGAAGTCCAAACCAAGAGGGCATAGGTTTAAGGTAAGAGGGAAAGATTAACATGGACTTGATGGGTAACTTTTTCACACAGAGGGTGGTGCATGTATGGAATGAGCTGCCAGAGGAAGTGGTGGAGGTGGGTACAATTACAGAATTTAAAAGGCACTAGAAAGGGTTTAGAGGGATATGGGCCAAATACTGGCAAATGGGACTAGATCAGTTTGGGATGTTTGGTCGGTGTGGATGAGTTCAACCGAGGGTTTGTTTCTGTGCTCTATGACTCTACTGTTGTAATGTGAATTACAGTGAAGCATTTGGCTGTTTCCACATCACTGTATGAGTTGGTTGAAATGGACCAATTTCTAAAGCATAGAGGTCTTGGAGGTTTATTCAGACCAGTCACTGTCCTAAGATCAATGTTAATACCATATTTCCAGGGAAAACACCTAATGACATTTCCATCGACAGGAAAACATCAGTGATAAGTACACAGAACTCTTTCGGTCCATTTTGACTTTGTGAATGGAATACAGGTTCCACAGACTAATTCCAATGGAGACGTCAACAATAAGAGCTTCAACTTCATACGTGTGTAGCTTATTTCAGAGCACAAAAGTTAGAAGCAGAATTTAAAGCCCTATATGGTGGGAAGTTTAGTAATGGAGGCTAATTTAATCAGGCAGCAGGTTGGTGGGTCGAGTTCCTGCCACTACCTGACATGCCGCAATTAAGACCGTGACAGGAAGACCCAATGGTACCCTTCACACTCAACTGCCTATTCTGTAGTATGGGAGCAAGGCAGGGAAACAGATCCGTGATCGATTTAAGGACTCTCGGTGTGTGGTGGTTTGTGCTGCTGCTGGTCCCTTAGTCACAGGATAATGGTGAAGGATCCTTTTATCAGGAAGCAAGGGGCACATTCTCCTCAGTCCCAACCTTTACGAAGTTTTGAAGAATCCATATATTGTGGCCTAGGTCAGGTGCTATTTTTGTTTTATCCATCACGTGGAGCAGAACTGGATGGTCTGTTTTGGTATTACATGGAAAGACTCTGCCTGGGGGAGAACATTGAATTTAACTATGTCACGTAATAACCATTCAATATAGTAATCGAAAATGCAGTCGTTCTGGTGAAATATTAGCCTAAACGACAGGCCAGATTACTGTTGCAGTGTTTAACAAATTTTTTTGGTTATTATGGTGACAGGATCCAGCCAGTCCGCTCAGAACCTGTTAGCATGCCTGGATCATCAAGAGTAATTGCTGACCGGAGAACTCTTTCAACGGTGATTGATGCTGGATCAGGTAGGAAATCTACCCACAAGTTGCGCTGGGAGGGGCGCAGATGTCATAACTTCACCTGCTGAACTCTCTTATTTGAATATGTGTAATGCTCCAATTAGACTGATTTGTTCAGCAGACTTCCATTTGATTTTTCTGAAGGTGTCACAAGCTATCTTAAGAATTATTAGTGACGTGTTTGCCAGGGATATGCTAATGTAAATGTCTTGTCTGATGTGAAAAAAATCTACAGTGGATTAACTGTGGTCTCAGAGTGCATGTGCCTGCGTAGTTGGATGATACATTCTGACAGAGTGAAAGCTGTTGCTGTAAAAGAGTAAGATAATTCTTGTCATTTGCAACAATAGAAATTTGTTTCTGCCTTCAAGTTTCCATTGTTTCATGGTTTTGTTCCCTGAACATGTTATCAAGGCTTTCTGCTTCCTAGTATACGGTGGTAAAGATCTGGTGGTATGAAGTTTTCTGATATATGCTCTGGTGTGCATCTTGAGTACAACTGAATCAAAATTAACATGCCTCCTGATGTGAATGAGAGTTGACGGCAAAATAAATTGTAGTTTCATGCATGCTGGTAACAAATAACAGATTTGCAGTAGAGGATCAGCCATGACATGTTGAATGGCAGAGTCGGCTCAGTGGACTGAATGGCCTGTTTTTGTTTTCAGTGTTTTTATGGAGCAGTGTTATGTTTTCATGTACATTTCCTACAAGCCTTTTCATCATATGCTCAAATCAGGGTAGAATTGCTCTGGGTGCTGTGATGTAAATGATTGATGATAAGTTCCTCTGGACAGTATTTCCTGCAAAAATACAAATGTGCACTTTGTTACTATTTATGTGCCCATTATGAACAGTGAATTCAGCACGTAGAACTCTGTGACCCTCAGCTAGAAAATCCAAGTTTAAATGCAATTGGCATTCACACTACTTCCTCTCAAGGGCATGTTTTGTCTGCCCTAGCCTGTAGGACAGGAGTGAAAAACTAGTAACAGGAATCAAAGCTCCTGAGTTCAAGCACACCACTTACTGAGTTAATCAAGAAGTGCTGCAGAAAGAATTCCGGATGTGCCTGAAAGACAACTTGTCCAAGAAGAGTAGTGTGATGAAAAGTGAGAACTGAGAAGGTTACACTCGTAACATTTCAACATACCACTATGTCAAGACACATATGATAACCACTCCAAAATGCATCCATAAACTTACCCATAGTTTTTCAAATTGGCTCATCTTTAAACATAGGGTTTAATTTTAAGCTAACTCCAGGACGCCCAAGGAATAGTGTAGAATTCCAGTTTTATGCTGTCGCTATTATTGATTTCAATGGGAAATAAAATTGAGTAGAATGTGAAGCCAATGTTGCACCCAGTCACCTCAGTCTACTGCCGAGCTGGTTCCACTGAAGTTGTTCCCTGTCAGCAATGGCAGACTCTTTACAGGAATACCAGATGTCTCACCACCCACAAAATATGTGACAGTCAGGAATTTTACATGTAACGAGCAACCTATTTTTACAGAAGTTTGAAAAATATTGTTTTTACATTGATTTTAATCTTTCAGTGTGATGCAATCCAGATACACAACACAACTGACGGATTTAAAATTTGTGAGTCAGATTCCAAAAGCCTTACATTGCTTGCGGTCTCTGTTTTTCAGTAAACCACCAGTTCCTGTTATGTATGCTTTACTGTTCCAATATTCTAGCTCACTGCAATCTCAGTGACACTGTTCAAGCCCTCATTGACTTGGGTTAGATTTGGTGCCACCCAGTTCGCAGCAATGAACAGTATGTTATAAGTGTCTAACCATGCATTTTAAACATGTAATTCTGAAGCAGTTTCCAACTTAACTTTTAACATTGAGGTTTACTTTGATCTTCCACTCAAACCAGTTCTTGCCAATTTTCTCAAACATTTATATTTAATCATCTTTCATTATCCTTAATGACCATTAAAAAAGAGCGCCAAAGAACTAAAAGCAGCATTTATATTGTGACTACCAATCTACAAGATGGATTTTCAGCAGATTTATATTCTGTAGCTGTAAAGCAGTAGTTTGTGATCAAGAAATGATGAATTGCGGGAAATGCGGGAGACACGGTCGAGCGCGTTCTCGACCTTTAGTGCGAACCGAGCATAGGTGTTCTGTAAAGCGGTCCCCAAGCCTCCGCTTGGTTTCCCCGATGTAGAGGAGGCCACAACGGGAACAGTGGATGCAGTATACCACATTAGCAGATGTGCAGGTGAACATCTGCTTGATGTGGAAAGTCTTCTTGGGGCCTGGGATGGGGGTTGAGAACACCCTCGACCGTGTCTCCTGCAACTCATCCCTCACACCCCCTCTCCGCAATAACAACCAAAACAGAATCCCCCTTGTCCTCACGTACCACCCCACCAACCTCCGGATCCAACGCATCATCCTCCGACACTTCCGCCATCAGCAATCCGACCCCACCACCAAAGACATTTTTCCCTCCCCACCCTTATCTGCTTTCCGGAGGGACCACTCTCTCCGGGACTCCCTTGTCCGCTCCACACTCTCCTCCAGCCCCACCACACCTGGCACTTTTCCCTGCAACCGCAGGAAGTGCTACACCTGCCACTACACCTCCCCCCTCACCCCCATCCCAGGCCCCAAGAAGTCTTTGGTGGTGGGGTCGGATTGCAGATGGCGGAAGTGTCGGAGGATGATGCGTTGGATCCGGAGGTTGGTGGGGTGGTACGTGAGGACAAGGGGGATTCTGTTTTGGTTGTTATTGCTGGGAGGGGGTGTGAGGGATGAGTTGCGGGAAATGCGGGAGACACAGTCGAGGGCGTTCTCGACCCCCATCCCAGGCCCCAAGAAGACTTTCCACACCAAGCAGATGTTCACCTGCACATCTGCTAATGTGGTATACTGCATCCACTGTTCCCGTTGTGGCCTCCTCTACATCGGGGAAACCAAGCGGAGGCTTGGGGACCGCTTTGCAGAACACCTACGCTCGGTTCACACTAAACTACTGCACCTCCCAGTCGCGAACCATTTCAACTCACCCTCCCATTCCTCAGACGACATGTCCATCCTGGGCCTCCTGCAATGCCACAACGATGCTACCCGAAGGTTGCAGGAACAGCAACTCATATTCCGCTTGGGAACCCTGCAGCCCAACGGTATCAATGTGGACTTCACAAGCTTCAAAATCTCCCCTCTCCCACCGCATCCCAAAACCAGCCCAGCTCGTCCCCACCTCCCTAACCTGTCCTTCCTCCCACCTATCCCCTCCTCCCACCCGAAGCCCCACCCCCATCTCCTTCCTACTAACCTCATCCCGCCCCCTTGACCTGTCTGTCCTATCTCCTCCCTAACTCCCCATCTACACTCACCTTTACTGGCTCCATCCCTGCCTCTTTGACCTGTCTGTCTCCTCTCCACCTATCTTCTCCTCTATCCATCTTCTATCCGCCTCCCCCTCTCTCCCTATTTATTTCAGAACCCCCTTCCTCTCCCCCATTTCTGAAGAAGGGTCTCGGCCCGAAACGTCAGCCTTCCTGCTCCTCTGATGCTGCTTGGCCTGCTGTGTTCATCCAGCTCTACACCTTGTTATCCCATATGTACACACTTAGGTGTACTCACAGAGCTCAGTACCTGGCTAGTAAATTATAAAATGCGTTGAGAGTTGGCAACACTGTCCATAATCTCAAACTACTCCAAAAACGCTCTGTCGTCTGTAAAAATAACCAGAGATCTAGAGTGTCAGTTTAACACTGCACTGGAATGGCATTCTTAACATCAGGAGGCTCAATAGGAGAGGGGTGGCCTGCCTGAATGTAGCATCTTATCCCAATGGTTCTCGGGGGTCGGCAGGAATGTGTAGGTGAGGCTTTAATTAGATTTGCCATGATCTTATTGAATGGTGGAGAATTAGAAGGGCCAAATGGCCTATTCATGCTCCTGATTTGTATATTCATATGTACCCATCTCCCTGTTGGTAACTTTGGAGATGCATTCTTATTTTTGCATCTATTTTTGTCTGCAAAGTAGGAACTGCTGCTCCACACTGCTGCAGAAATCATACTATAACAATGCTCTTTCGTTCGGTTCTATCATCTTCTAATGATATTTATTTAAATAAGGAATAGAGTGACATTATCAGATACAGTCTTAAAAATTAAGCCAGCCAACACCATTCAGAGTTTGAGAGAGATAGTCATCGGAAGGGTCTGAACTAATTCAGCTTCTTCACACCAGATCAATTTTTAACATCAGAATTTACTGTTTAAACAGGTATATATAACAAATAAACATGGATAGCTCTAAAGATAGATCAAAGTGGAAAGATCAAAACAAATAACCTCGGTGTTAATTGAATCTTTATGCCTCTAGTTTGGAAATTCTGCTGAACCATATTTAGCTTGTTAAACCTAAAAAATGTGGAAAGATAAGTCTACATTAAACACAAACATTAACATATTTATTTTTGTAATCTGATATGGAACAACACACTTTCTATAGGCTTTATTGCATTTTTTAATACTAATGAGACTACAGTATTCCACAGAGTGATCCCTAATTTGGAATAATTACCCTAGGTTACCATTGTTTCTAAATTATTTCAGACAGTCCACTGCAACCCTACATACATTGGGAGCTCCAAGAAACCTTTTATGATTGGATCAGGACTTCTATGAAATGCAAGTAAACATAAGTAATTTGTAAATCTTTGCAAGAAGAGCCATCGAATCATCCATTCAGCCACTGTACCTGAATCCAAACAGAAAACACTGAAAAATCTCCATTATATACAGAAGTGATTAGAAAGCTAATGAGGTCTCTTGGGAGCAACTTGGCAGTAGACTGAGTTATACTTATTGTGCCCAAATTTTTATTAAAAAAATAGGTAATTGAGAGATACTTTGAATCTTTGATCAAGAATTCTATACTGCTGGAAAGATTAAAAATTTAATTCCATAGTTTGAAATTCACATTCAGTTTTGCGTATCATGGAGCTGTGTGGATATTGGGTTTTG